ATAATATTTTGCTATTATTAATTTATTATATTAACTTGGTATATTTATTTATCTTTTCTTAATATTAAATAGTTTGACTATACAAAGAGTCAAGCCTTTAAATTTATTCAGAAAACATCCATACCCTTAGGTTAGGTCTTATAGCAAAAAATTCAATGATAGTAAGACTTGATGGGATCTCAACTGCAGAAGAAGAAATGTTGGCCATGGCTTTGCAGTGTGTCACCTTAGAATGAAAGAAAGAGATATATAAAGTAAGGTTTGTTAACAGGTAATTTATAATTCTAATTGATCAAATAACATAACTCTTAATTTGTAAAACTTATTCGTCATTTTATTAAATTAATAATTTTTTTTTATTCATTGATTTTAACATTTTTATTAAAATAAATTATTTTACTATCTCATCTTCACATTTTTATAAAAAAAGTATTTAAATTCACATTATTAGTTATTTTTCTTTAAACAAATCATCAACATTTTTTAAACTTAGCTAATATCAATCCCATTTAAATTTAGTATTTTGATCAATTTTGATATTTTTTTTTACTTTAAACAATAACTTACTTTATTCTAACATAATTTACAATAATTATAATGATTTTAATTTACTTTTATTACCAACGCTAAAATAGTAATATTTCATTTTTATCATTTAAAATATTTTTTTAATTTATAAAACTCATCACATAATTCATTAATCTATATAAACTTTAATTTTAAATCGCTCCATTTTTATCAATTTTTCTTAATCTAATAAACTCTACTTTCATTTTTATTTTCTCTCAAATCTATCTTTATTTTCTTAATTACTATCTAAATGTTATCTACTCAAACATAAGGAAAGAGCTAAATTGAACACAGAAAAACCAAATGAAAATTGAACCAACTTAAGAAATTGGAAGACCAGATCAATAATGAAACCTAACATATTATTATTGGTCAAAGAACAAGAATAATTTTTTTTAATTAATGAATACGTAAAAAGAAACTTTAATATTACAAATATAACTAATAATTGATGAATACGTAAAATCGCTATAGTTACCTTAAAATATCACCGTAAATATCCAATGCAATTGTCAGAACTTTAATATTACAAATATAATTAATAATTGATTTGATTTTCTATATATTATCTTTCACAGTTTCTAATTGATTGATAGTGTAAAACTTCCGTAGAATCTAATTAATTGATGGAAACATTACACAATTTTTAATAATGGCTTAGACAGGTTTTTAATATTGATTTTAAATCAACAAAGATGTCCTTATAAATAAAGAGTATTCGACCTTAGTTTTAAGCCCACATGCAAAGGAAAGAAATTTAAGTAATTAATTGTTAGAAATATTTAAAAAATATACATAAATTGAAAATAATTTTACACTACCGAATAGCCTAAATGATCTATTTATATAATTTCTTATAAATGAATATATGAACAAAAGTAGTCGTTACATGATACATATAATAATAGTTAAACGTGGTTTTGGTAATGAAAAATTGTGTATGTTTGATTCTATGAACTGCATGGCATCAGATGAACATGGTGGGAGGATATTATGATGCTGGTGACAATGTGAAATTCCATTTTCCAATGGCTTTCACAACGACAATGCTCGCTTGGAGTGTGATAGAATTCGGAGATGTGATGGATTCAGAGCTGAAGAACGCGTTGGATGCAATCAGGTGGGGAACTGATTATTTGATGAAAGCCACGAAAAATCCTTATTTGATTGTGGCACAAGTGGGTGATCCAAATGCCGACCATGACTGTTCGGAGAGACCAGAAGACATGGATACTCCTCGAACCTCCTACTTTCTAACTAAACAGAAGCCAGGTTCAGAGCTTGCAGCTGAGATTGCAGCTGCACTTTCAGCGTTATGTTTTATCAGGTGGTCTTCTGTTAAAAAATGAACCAAGTAATCTACAAAGCGTAACAGCTCTGTCATTTCTGTTAATTGTTTATGCCCGCGTGATGGATGGTGTGAAGAAAAGAATAGCCTGTGGGAAAGAAATGGTAGATTCAAATGTGCTGATAAATATCGCAAAAAGTCAAGCTGATTACATTCTGGGAAAGAATCCAGCAGGAATGTCATACATGGTGGGTTATGGCAGAAAGTATCCTCGGAAGATTCATCATCGTGGTTCGGTGTTGCCATGTTTGGATGCACACCCACAACGCCTTCGTTGTCGAGATGGAGATGTATACTTCAAATCAGACAAACCCAATCTCAACGTCCTGACAGGAGCCCTTGTTGGAGGACCAGCAGAAGATGATTCCTTTCAGGATTCTCGTTTCAATGTATCTCAACCAGAGCCTACCACCTACATCAACGCTCCTTTTGTTGGTGTTTTGGCTTACTTAAACAAACCCACTATCGTTTAGTTCTTGCCTAACATTACACCAACAACTATCTATAACAATAAGGATATATGTCTCAAACAAAACAACAATATACTTTGTGTATATGTAATTTTTCAATAAATAAATAATTTATGAGTTGATGTGTGAACGTTTGCATGTATGAACGATGGTATGTTTGCTCGAATTGTATTCAAATTTTGTGTTCGGCTAAGTTCCAAGTAGTTAGCTTTTCTATAATGGTCGATCAGTAATAGCGTTCGGTCATTCTTCTGTTTTGTCTCTTATAAACGGTTCGGTTTTTCTCTTAGTTGGGTAGTGTGAAGGTGTTCAGTTTCCAACGTTCACAAGTTTTCTCTTTATTATGTGTGAAAATGTAATTGATGAATGATTATGTATGTTAAGAATTGAAGATTATACTTCCAAATATTATTGTGGAAGAGAATTCCGAGGAGGAATGTCTTATGGATGGTTGTGGAATTGTAAAGTATGAATATGGATATGTTAAGCTGGCGTTTATCCTGATATTCTGTGATTACTCATTCTCAAGTAGAGAGGAGTAACTCATGTGTGAGAATGACAGGAGGTCCTACCACCTCAGGGTGCCAAGGTAGGTATTATGGGATTAACCTTGGGTAGTAGCTTGATTGGTGTCAGTTGTTACACTACCACAAGTGCAAGGACGATTGTAGCTACATATTCATACAATTCAGATGGTCAAGTCATAGTGTTCGGTTTATACATCTTTATATGAATTGTGATGTTTTGGTTGTAGGTGATGAATTGTATTCGTTGTTGTATGATGTATCGTTCGGTTTCATATGGATTGAACTTGCATGAAGTGCATATATCTGTTTATAATTAAATTACAATAGCTTACCATATTTTCTTGTTCTGTCTTGTCTTGTCCGTTCGGTTTTCTTTTCCCTTGCGATGATCATTTTGTGGATGTGAGCAGAAGGTGACGAGTGTTCGGTGGAGCAAGTGTTGGAAGGTGAAGATCTTGTCACTTAAGTTACCGCTCGGTCATATGTTATGTATAATTTTGAATTGGACTGTTCAGTCAATAGCTTTAGTATTCCTTTTGCAAACCGATCGGCTTATATAGTGTGTTGTATCACCGTTCGGTTTATTCCTATGTTTTGTATCAAACTTATGATATTCTGTAAAATTTTTAGTTTTATGGTTATTTTTGAATAACTGTAATGATTAAACACTTTACTAACTCTTAATGAACTGATCTATCATATTATTATATGTGATTAATCTATGATATAGTATTATGTTATATATTTTGAGGATGTTACACATTTGAAAAGTTTCTATGTTCTTTTTAATGTTTCTTAGTATAAAAATAAAGTTAGAAACTTCATCATAGTCTTTCAAATAAAATATGTATTTGATTTTAACTATTATTTTTACAAATAGCTGAAAACTCGTCTAATGTTTGAAATTACGAACGAATCGTTTGGTGGAAAATTAAATTATGAATGGCTCATATATGAAAAATAAATCATGTTGTCTTAAATTAAAAGATCTAAGACTAAGTATAATATGTTATCTATATAATTAAAATTAATGAGTTTGTGGTGTGAATATTGAAATCATATCAGAGATACTAGTAGAAACACATGCACTACGTGTGTATCCATTTTTTTTTAGTAAAAATTTATTAAACTATAAAATAATTTTTATTAAAAATAATCATAAAAACAAATAATTTGGATGATTTTTTATTATTAATTATGTAAGATAGTGTTTATGATTTAGGAGTTGGGATGAGAAAGGAGGATGGTGAATGAGTTTCGTTATCTCATATATATTTTCAATCAATATATATATATATATATATATATATATATATATATTAAATTATCTAATAAGCTATTAAACTATTAGTATTTTAGTAATTTAAATAAAGGACGAGGATGAGTGTGAAGATATATATTTTGATAGGTATTGGGAGAGGCACAGGATAGTTATGTACATACACATCTTCATCCTCAATTAAAAAAATAAATAATTATTCATACCTAATCAATGTGAAAATTCTCTGTCAAAAGAAAACAAGTTTATTTGTCATTCCATTTAAGAGTAGGGAACAATTTATTTGTCATTCTATTTAAAAGTAAGTAAAATATGTAAGAAATTGAGAAAAAAAAAAGAAAATAAAAGAGAAGATTATTTTGAAAAGAATCCATTGACGTAGAAAGAAATAAAAAAATGACATCTTCAAAATCGATTTAATGTCAATTGGGTCATTTCTTGGTACAATACCTTTTTAGTGTTACATTTTTAATATGCTAAGACTAAAGAGATTGTTTAGTGTTGGTGTGTGATGTTAGGCTCAATAGTGATTGTGTCCCTTGGGTCCACTACCAAGTGAAATTATAATTTTAGTATTAATTAAGTCAATAAATTGTCAGAAAAGTTTTTAATGGTAATTAAGTGAATGAGTGTAATAATAATGAAGAGACATTTAAAGTGTGATAATGGAATTAATGGGGGATTACGTAGTTTGAGAATTCAGGAATTAAAGGGGGGTTACGTAGTCAATATTATTTTTTCTTTGCTTTTATATACAGTTATTTATACTGTTGCAGAGCAGCTGCAATTGGAAGAGGAGCGTAGCCATGTCGAAAGCATCATGTATAGTAAGAATGATAATGGTGGGAATGATGATAACAGTGACAAGAGCACATTATGCAATAAACTATAAAGAAGCATTAGGAAAGAGCATTTTATTCTTCGAAGGTCAGAGGTCTGGCAAGTTGCCACATTCTCAACGCATGAAATGGCGCAAAGATTCTGCACTTTCTGATGGCTCGGACATTCGTGTAACTATTTCACTTTTTCTCTTTAAAATCCTATCTAGTTTATCTTTTTACGTAACTAAAAGAAATGTAAGTAAATAAACATATCAGTAATGAAATATATATTACTAGTTAATACTAATATTTTGTGAGAGGTATAAGAATATGGTTAATGTTATATTCTATGAACGGGATGACATCAGATGAACATGGTGGGTGGATATTATGATGCCGGCGACAATGTAAAATTCCATTTTCCAATGGCATTCACGACGACTATGCTAGCTTGGAGTGTGGTAGAATTTGGAGATCTGATGGGTTCAGAGCTGAAGAATGCGTTGGATGCAATCAGGTGGGGAACCGATTATTTAATGAAAGCCACGAACATTCCTAATATGGTTGTGGCACAAGTGGGCCAACCATACGCCGACCATGCCTGTTGGGAGAGACCAGAAGACATGGACACTCCTCGAACCTCGTACTATCTCACTAAAGAGAAGCCTGGTTCAGAACTGTCTGCTGAGATTGCGGCTGCACTTGCCGCATCTTCGATCGCATTTAGGACAACCCATGCTTCCTATTCCAACATTCTTCTCAAAAGAGCCATTCGGGTATTATTATTATTATTATGATTTCAATTATACTAACATACTCACATACTGTAATTAGTTAACACTGATGTCTTTTTTACTCAGGTGTTTGACTTTGCAAACAAATATCGTGGATCTTATAACAACAGCGTAGGTGAAGCAGCATGCCCCTTCTACTGTGACTATAACAACTACATGGTATGTGTTAGTTTTACACTCTCATATATATGATAATCATAATTGTTTCACAAAAATATAAATTATCATGGAAAAATCAGGATGACTTGGCTTGGGGAGCAGCATGGTTGTATAAAGCCACGAAAATGGCCAGTTATTGGGATTTTGTAAAATCAAACATTCAAACAGCGAACGTCGATCCTTTCGAATTTGGATGGGATGGCAAAGTGGCTGGGATAAATGTGCTTGTTTCTGAGGTTAGTTGTCTTTCATAATAAATTCATGCAACTTTTGATTCGTGTTTGTTGATGATGATTTTAAAAAGTTTAATCCTTGGAATCTGGACAGTGGGCGATGAATGATCCAGGCAGGGCACACCTTTTCATTCCTAATGCAGATGCACTTATGTGTTCTTTGGTGCCGAATTCACCTACCAAAACATTCTCGTACACAAAAGGTTTGAGATAGAATTAAAAATGATCGAGATGTCATTCTTGTACTATAACTAACGTTGTTATATTTGATCAGGTGGTCTTCTATTCAAAAAGGGAGTATGCAATCTACAAAACGTAACGGCTCTGTCATTTCTCTTGATTGTTTATGCGCGATCGATGGATCGTATGAAGAAAAGAATAGTGTGTGGGAAAGAAATGGCGGATTCAAAAAGGCTGATTAATATAGCCAAAAGTCAAGCTGATTACATACTGGGAAAGAATCCAGAAAGAATGTCATACATGGTGGGTTTTGGAAGAAAGTATCCTCAGAAGATTCATCATCGTGGTTCGGTGTTGCCATCTTTGGATGCACACCCACAACGCCTTCGTTGTCGAGATGGAGATGTATACTTCAAATCAGACAAACCCAATCCAAACATCCTAATCGGAGCCCTTGTCGGAGGACCGGCATATAACTATTCCTTTCAGGATTCCCGTTACAATCCAGGCCAAACAGAACCGACCACCTATCTCAACGCTCCTTTTGTTGGTGTTTTGGCGTACTTGACCAAACCTACTATCGTTTAGTTCTTACAAAACATTACAGCAACAGTGTACTTTGCATCTGCAATTCTTCAATAAATATTTTCAATTTTCAATTTCAAATATAGTTCATTTTACCTAATATTTTTACTAATTATGAAATTATGAACGGATCGTATGGTGAGAAATAACATTATGAACGGCTCATATATCAAAAGCAAATCTTGTTGTCTTAAACTTAAATATATGAGTAAGTATAACGTGTTAATATTTTTTAAGAGATAGGAAAATGGAAAAAAAAATATGAATACTTTGAGAAAGAAATTGTAATTTTGAGGGTGGGGAGGAGTAAAGCTAATAATAATAAATTTCAGCTATTTAATTTTAATTTTTAGAAATTTGTCGAGCGAACTAAACTAATTCAAACGAAATTAAAACAAAAACTTTTATATCGTTGCTTCCGGATTTAAATTTATTATGTAAAATGCAAAAATCTAGTTACTTTACATTCTATATTCATACTGCTACAACTAAAATTGACCATATAATGCTGAATATATAATTTTAAAAACTTCGAGTGTTACTAAATTGATCACAAGACCCCAAATTTCAAGTGTGAAATTAAATTAAAACCTTTATCAATTGAAATCATCACTTTCGATTCTCTTAACGAAGCTTAAACTTGAATTTCGATCCATATTTTCCTTAGATTTACTTATATATATATATATATATATATATATATATAATAACTCCCTGATACTTATGTTTTCTATTTAAGCTCAACATGATAAAAATTTAAAATTTTCATATATAGTGAGTCACTTCCCAAACGTATTCTTGCCATATAATAATAATACAAAGATATTTTTTCTTATTTGAAAATTTCTTATATTCTAAAATAAAATAAACAAATCACAATAAAATTGAGTCAAGAATTAAATTATTTAATACGATGATTTTTTTTTCAACTAACCAGATTAATATTTCGAACTCCAAATATCCACATAAAAATAAATTTGAATAAATTGAATTTTTTTATTAAATCGAATACAATATGTTAATTGGGCATTGTGTTAATACGTTTTCTCAACTTAGATAAAAAAGTATTTTTAATTGAGCATTATGTTAATACGTTTTCTCAACTTAGATAAAAAAAATATTTTTAATTGGGCATTGTATTAATTCTGTGGAAATAAGTCCAATTTATTTTAATAACTATTATCTTTATCATCAAAGTATAATAAACATAATTAAAATCAAGATGTGTTTATGAATGACAATAATTATAATTTAATTATTATTAAATGTGAGAAATATATCTTAATTGTGTTTATTTAGTTTGGATGACAAACATAAGGATCATAATTATTAAAATAAATCTGACTTGTTTTTGAAAGAATTAACAAAATGTTCAATTGAAAAATTTTAAAATATTTTCCTTTTCTAACTTGAGAAAACGTATAAAATTGGATGATATTAGATTTGATTTAGTAAAATAATTTAATTTATTCTTGTTTTCGAGGTGGAGTTAAGGTTAACGGTTTTATCTTTTATAAATTGTTTAAAGTCTAAATTTTATTGGATAAAATGTCTATTGTGTATCTAAATAGTTAAGATGGTACCTGTAGAAAGTATGCTGATATCAAAATGAGATCAACTTAGATAAAGAGTAAGTAATGTTATAATCAATGCGTAACCTACTTTATTACTTTAAATATTTTTTTATAAATTTTATGGTGAACTTTTGATTAACGTTAACCTAATTATGACCCAAACATAAATAATCATACTTAGGTTAATCGTTTTTATGGTTGATCTACTTTGGTTCTATTCAGATCGTCGAATGATTTGTTAGATGACCGTCTAAGCTTTATAATTTATCATCTGAATTTTGGAATTAATATACTTTGATCATGTTTAAAAATGTCTGATCTAATAAATAGTCGTCTAGTTTGTTAAAAAATTCTTCATATTCATAATTCTTTGTGGGCTTGATGGTTAACTGATCAATCAGTATAAATTTTATATTATTATTATTTTTAGCACAATCTATTACTATTATTAGTATTGATATTATTAGTTATATATTACTTTAACATAAAATATCATATTAAAATAATATTATTTCTAAAAAATATTCTATAATAAATTATTTAATTTTTTCATATTATCAAACTCTTTATTTAAATACTATATTCATAATTATACATAACATTTAAATATAATAATATAAATAAATATTTTATTTAAACATAATAATAATTATATATTAATATTCTTAATAGAAATTAAAAAGAAAAAAAATGACCAAACATACGCGTCTCATACTGATTATTAATTAAAATATAATTATTATATTACAGTAAAAGTAAAAGTTATGAAATAGATTTAAAAACTTATAAAACAAATTAATTTTTTTACAATAAAAGTATTTAATAATTAAGTTTTAAAATAATTTAAATATATTTTCAGTGTCTAAAATTGAATTAGTCTAAACCTTAAATTTTGACTCGGTTTATCTCTTAATCTAAAAGAATAATAAACATAATTCTTCTAATTTAAAAAAAAAAAGGAGAAGACGTTGATGCTGTAATGGATAATTAGAAAATCGATGAAGTCTGCAAATTGGCAAATGGAGGGAGACAGAAGGGGCCGAGAGAAGAGTAAAATTCAAATTCTCTTCTTCATTTTCATGATTATTAAATTGCAGCAGCCTCTCCAAACTTCTACGATCCTATCTCATTTCAGAAACCCTAATTTCTCCTAATCTCCTTTCCCTTTCAGACATTACTGTACCTTCTTCATTGAATTTTGTTATCGCTTCGGAAGAAACAGTACGAGGAAAGGAAAACGTATGTTCTTGGAGCTCTCTGTCTGTAAATTTAATGAGGTAATTTATTTCAGCAAAATAATTGAACCTTTAATTTCGTTATCTTTCGCTCTCCATTTCGATTGCAATTGTCAGCATCATCAACGTATGTAGACGTTCCAGCGTCTTCTGAAAAAGAAAGTATGGTGATGTACCCCACATCTATTCACAGACTACAAAATTATTTCTTCTTTTCTGCCAAAATATCTTCTGCCACTTTCCAATCATTCATTACTGATAGCTTCTGATGGTAGCAGTTACTCTTTTTATAATTTAAATATGTACAAATCTCATGAATTACTGATCATCTTTGATTGATTTTCAAATTATATTATATGATTGTCCACTCTTTACTTAGATCTGTATAAGTGATTCGACGGTTATGGAAATGAAATGAATCAGAAAAAATCATTTTAATATTTATTAATTTAGAAATAAAATTTGATTATTCAAAATTTGATATAATTAAACTTAATCAAAAATTTATTTTAAAATTTATAAAAATAGGTATGTGATTTAATTTATGATATTATTAATATAGAAATAGTCGATATTAAACTGATTTTAATATCGGATTACCTTCTTCGTGTACCCTAAACAATTTATCAGATTTTGGACATTGATCTTAACCGTATACCTTGAAACAAAAATATTTTCATTTATTTAATAATTTTCTTATTCTTAATTAAATTTTTAATAAAAGAAAAATGAAAAATTTTCGTTTAAATATAGTTTGTTAAAGTAAATGATGTTAATTATTTTTTTTAACCGATATATTAATTCATCTAACTTTATATTTAATTCTAAACGTATAAAGATTAAATATATTTTTAATTTTGATAAATTTTAACACGAAATTGGAATTTGTTCATGTTTTAAATTTTTATATAAAATTTAAGAAATAAAAGAATATATTTCTTGATCCAATTATATTAAATATATTTTAGGATAATAATTGTTTGTACAATTTTAACATATTTCAACTAAAATATGGTTTAAAATGATAAAAAAGAAGTATATTAATTTACTTTTAAAAATTAAACATTAAAATGTATAAAAAAAGGTCAAATTTCAACCGATGGAAGTTAAATGACTAAATAGGGAGAGAGAGTATTTGGTTAGAAGCAATGGATGGCTAAGGAAGCAGCCACCGTGCAGGTTAAAACGTTTAACCGCCGCCGCCGCCGCCGCCACTTGTGAGTCAACTGTACCGTACGAAGTCCGACAAGTTTTTGAACCCTGAGAGAGTACATATATATGTTTTACTACTTCTGAGCTAAACAACCGTAGGAAGGAGACAGAAGCACACATAAATAAATAATTTAGTCTATGTTAAGGACGAGATTTAATGCTTGATTCGAAAATTGCAAGTTTTTACTTCTACGTACTATGCAGAAACATGGGAAGAATCACAACCTTAACTTCAATTCAAAATGAAATGTTTCTCTCAGTTTAGGTTCATATTTAAAGTGACCCCACTCACATGCTAGTCATTTTTAAGCCTTTAAATTGACCCCACTGCTCCAAATTATTGGAGCTAGCGTGAGTAAATAAATTTTTAGTTGGGTCCAATTTTTAAAAATCTTTCATTTTCTTCCTAAAAAAATCAGAATTTCTCAAAAATATCTTCCCGAGATATATAGAATATACATTTGAATTTTTGTATATATATAGGTTACTTCCATCCCATTTTTGCCACCCAACCAAAGATACGAAAACAATGGAAGCCATATCTTGCAAGCACCTTATCACGTCCCTTTTCATAATTCTTTCTTCTAGTCTCACCGCCGCACACGGTGGCAGAAGACTGAGTGAAAGACCATACCAAGAAGCGAGCACGGTGTTCATCAGAACATCTTGTAGTTCAACAACGTATCCAACACTCTGCTACAGCTCCCTGGTGAAGCATGCAGACTCGATCCAAACAAATCGCGTGGTGTTAGCCGGGACGGCCCTGAACGTGACTCTTGCGTCGGCGAAATCGACATCGGCAATGATGAGGACGCTGGGAAAGAGACAGGGGCTGAAGCCAAGAGAGGTGGCGGCGATGAAGGACTGCGTGGAGGAGCTGGGTGACTCGGTGGATGAACTCAGAAGGTCCATCGATGAGATGAGTCATCTTAGAGGGTCGAACTTTGAGATGACGATGAGCGACGTGCAAACGTGGGTGAGTGCTGCTCTGACGGACGAGAGCACCTGCACCGATGGCTTCCAAGAGACTGCCACCGGTGCTACAAATATTAAGAGCACTGTGAGAGGTCAAGTTGTGCATGTAGCACAATTGACCAGCAATGCATTGGCTTTGATAAATCAGCTAGCCAATTCTCATGGTTAACCTGATCAACTCTCAAATTTGTTGCATTTTATGTCCCCGATACTCTTCAACTGTTCGTGTCCCTCCTACGTATACTCAGGATCTTATGTTGTTTTTTATTTTTTATTTTTTATTTTCTTGTTCTATCACTAATTGTATCATAATTTCTTATAAAGTGAACTTGCTCGTGGTTTTTTATATCTTATATTTTTAGTAAAAAATTTAAAAACACTTCTAACTTTTATGCTCACTCGGTTGAATTTTAAAGTAAAAGTAGAGTTATTTTGAAAGATATATTGCTAAACGAGGTTGTTTTGTTGAGTAGGGACAGAAATTGTCAACATATATTTGATAATTTCTACCGGTGGAAAACTTTATACGTTTAATTTTAAAACTGAATTATATGTCGCATGAAAAATAGGTGTGGCGGGCCCTATATCGTTAAAAGGATAACCAACAATGAAAAATATCTTACAATTTAGAATCGATTGATAATTAAGGATTAGTGTGTCTTGTCGTTTATAAGAAACATAAAAATACTTAATCGTCGTTTATTTTAATTTATTACGGCTGACAAAGGGTAATATATTGGATGATAACGGGTGGAATTCTACGTGGATAATTTTTATTTAGAACAAAAGGTACTTGTTAAATATTCTTGTAAAAAGTATTTATAAGTATTTTAAAACTTATAAATATTCGTGAGTACTTGTATTTATTTTAAAAAAATATTTTGTAAATTTTTAAAATTAAATTATAAAAGGAATATAAAATATAAATTAAAAATTAATTTTAAATAAATTTAATCTAATAAAAATAAATTAATTTTTAATTGCAATTAAATTAAATTTAATAAAATATGAATTAAATTTTAATTTTAATTTTTTTTTGGAATACTCCTAGGTACAAATAATATAATATACACTAGATTCATTTATAAATAGATATTAAAACATTTGTGAATTTTATCAACTATCTATCATGAATTTTATCCACAAATTCATGTTAATACAAGTATTTTTGTCATCCTTAATAATATATAATAGTAAATAACTTATACGAGACATGAAACAGGACGATATTACATAATAATGTCTAAAGGTTGTTTCTTATTTATTTTAATTTTAAATTACTTTTATTTTAATCAATAATATACGTAGTGGTTTTAACTAGTATACTTTAAAGATTAAATATATTTTTAGTTTTTGAATTGACCATGTAATTATCTAACTTTTGATACATTTTCATTCTCAAATTTGAAAAGCTTTAAAAATTAATACATATAATATTACTACCATAACTACACTGAATATTTTTGCATGTAATCGACATTTCACGTTTAAATTGTTTATCCCCATGAAATATAATTTAACACATAAAAGATATTAATACAATTAGTTAAGAAGATTATATTAATTTATTTTAAAATTTAAAAACTAAAATGTATCTATATGATCGAATAAATTCCAATTTTGTGGACAAATATAATCATATTTAACTCTTATTTATTCTTAACTATTGTTTTATTAAATATTGTTTAAGTTTATTTATCTGTTTTAGTTAATACTGTATACATTTAAGTTTATTAATTGGTTTTTGTTAGTATGAATTGATTTTAATTAATACTGTATAAAAATTTATTTATTTATCTTAGTTAATATGCAATTTATTTAAAATTTTATACGTCAAATAAAAATAGAAGATTGAAGGGAAGAGGTTTGAATTATTGTATGGTACTTGATATAAAAATGTGCTAACAAAACAGAATATTGGCTAGCTACTGGGTTATTCAATCTTGTTCCATTTTTTACTGTGTAGAACTCTTACAACTACTTTATAGCCATAATATAACATAGTAAGGTGGTCGAAGATAACTAACATGATTATGGGAAACAAGAGTTATGCAGAACCTTGCATTCATTTGAGGCTAACGTTGTCCGTTGTGTCGGATTAATTTGAGCCAAGCGTTTGTTGTAGATTCATTTGAGCCTATGATACTCGTGTCAATCTATTCACATAGTACTAGATTCGTTTCAGCCTAGCGTTGGCCGCGTGTCAAATCACACTGTACTAGCTAATTTCAGCCATTAATTTTCCAAATAAGATCTTCAAAATCTCTCCCATGCCATCAATAATTATTGTGCCAATCAAGCTATTTTAATCTTAACTCAATAAAGTAAAATATATTTTTTTTAATAAGATTATTTTCATATTAAATTTACTGATTTAATATACATATTTATACTGACATAGTGATATTATTTTTAATTTTATAAATAAAATTACTATTTTATAAAGCGAATATCATAAACTCGTGAGTTTACAGGTCGATACAATCTAAATTGAATCAGGTCACATCCTGAATCTATTAGACCAAAAATGAACTGAAGCCACATATATTTATTTGACTTTTTTGCCCTTGTGAAAATTTCGTGGTGATATATCAAATCAAATATATTAACGATGATTAAAAAGCCTATTAATAACGGTTTATTATATGTTGTTGGAACACATGTTTTTTAATAAGGCCTTGATTTGTTGTCATATTATTTTGGCTATTATTCATTACATGTCTTATTCATTCACAGTCTTTATTAATATATTTTGGAGAGATATGACATTAGTACAGAAACGATTTTAGACGTCTGTTATTTTGGGTTTTTGTCGTCGAATTCCGATCCGATGTCTTTATGAATGACGTTAATAGGACGTCGGACTCCACATGTCCGACGTCTTTATAGACGTCGAACATGCATTAACCGACGTCTAGGGACACTATAGACGTTGGACATGACATTAACCAATGTCTACTGCAACTCGTGTCTTTGGGTAGCGTAGTAGCACCTTCTTTCTTTGCTAGTTTCGTTATAGAAAAGGTTGCGTCTTTGGGACCTCTTATGACATTTCAACCGAAAACCGAATCTGGGTCCTTGCCTAGTTTCATTCCAACCGGCAATGAAAACGAATACGGTGACATGAGAACTAGGCAAGGACCCATGTTTGGTTTTGGGTTGAAACGCTATAAGACATCCAAAAGACGCAAGTTTTTCTTACGAGGAAACTAGCAAAGGGAGAATGTGCTACTACGCTACCCAAAGACATGAGAAAAACTGCATCAAAACACAATGAAAACTCATTTTAATCGGTTCAAATGGAAGATAATTCATTAAAGACTAATTTAATCGGAGTAAAAGTAAGTTTAAACGGATCAAAAGAGACAAAAACGCATCTGAAAATGCAATGCCACAGAGAGAAAAGGCGAGAAGGAAGACGGTGAAGTGCGCATAACCGCGGGTTCGATTTCTGATTTAACAGCAAACAAGATGTCGGACACAGAGGGAACTGATGTCTATTCTCGCCTAGACGTTGGAGCCCTCACTAATATGACGTTCAAAACAACTTTTCATCTACCCTGTCAGGCTATTTAGACGTGGGATGGTGGGATCAGATGTCTATATGGCGGAAAAAAAGAACTTTTCATCTACCTGTCACACATATACACGTTTGTTAGGAGGGACACCAACGTTTATAATCGTATATAGACGTCGGGGTGGCGGGATCGGATGTCTATATGGCGAAAAAAAAGAACTTTTCATCTACCTGTCAGACACGTAGACGTCTGTTAGGAGGGACACCGACGTCTATAATATTATAGACGTCGGTGTCCCGCCTAACAGACGTCTATATATTATAGACGTCGGTGCCCCTCTTAACAAACATTTATGTGTCCAACTTATTTATGAACATGCCACCGGTCAATAATTTACGTTGATTATTTTGTGGTCTGACATCTACTGGGTGATGTTAAAGGCCAATTCTGTACTACTGTGAATGTAAAAAAAAACATATTGTTAATATAACTAAATACTTTAAGGTACACTACCGTAAATTTTGACGATGTTTAATTTAATTCATGTAATATTTACATATAGCGAAACTACCATAATCATAAGTTAATTAATCACGTGCATTTGTCTTTCTACTTTGTCTTTCTACTTCTTTTCATCTTCCATAACTTCCAAACATTTTATAAATTTCTACTAAAATATCGTAGGATTTTCTAAAAGGATTGAATTTATTTTTCTTTCCAATTTGATCTTCAAGTATGTTAAGTTTCTCCTATGTAATTATTCTTTAGTTAACTTTCTTTTGTTTAATTTTTCTTGTGGTTTCCATGGCCACATCATGAACATTCTCCACTAGAACTTCGACCATATAAGGGGAAAGAGACATTAATGTAACATGATGACCATTCAAAGACTTTGCCAAGGATTACCACCAGTTGGGAGGGGGGAGAAGTGTTGTCAGCCTTACAATAACTTAACTTTTGAAACTAATGTCTTTTTCTTATTGATTGTCAACTACGTAAATCTCCTTTGTGTTTACTCTAACTATTGGAGGTATGATAGACTCTTTGTAGCAATTGTACGGTTTAAAAGCCCTAATATCTCCAATCAAAAATAAAAACTAAAGTAGTAGGATTCACATGAATATGCTATAAATCATGTTAAATTAATGTTTATACCTACGAAGATGCTAACGTAATCCAAAAATGGTAGTAAGTATCATCAAAATTATTACGAGGAGTACAAAAAATATAGCAAACTTTACTGAAACAAGAAATCCTACAACATAACTAAAATATATTATGATTGAAGTTGTATAAATAAAAAATAATAATATAATGAAACATTTTTACATTACAAAGATAAAATAATTATAAAATAGTTAATTTTTATATGTTTTTTAAGAAAGAAAAGAATAAAAAATATGAAGAAATTCTTTCAAATAAATGTAAAAAAAGTATGTGTCAAAAGTATTATTTTTGATAAATAAACACGATAGAAATAATATATACTTACATTTGGGTCGAAAATTCTCTCTGAAAGTACAAGCCTACAATTTCTTCATCAATGTAATTACGTAAGAACTTCCATTCCTGTAAAAGAAATCTGAGGTTGAGTGAAACGTGACACATGAATTTCGGTTTATGAAAGTGACCTGAGTCGTGTGGTAGTCATGGTTTTGAACTTTAAATTTTGTGGGGAAGCAGCAACCCCACTGGTTTTGAATTATTGGAGCATGAACAGAAATATCACATCCTTCTTGGATCATTGATCATAAAAACCGAACTTGTTAGTTTGGGCCAAGTTTACAAAAT